CATTAACTTCGCCCCTACATTATCCCTTCCCCGATACACCATACCATGCATTCCTCCACAACCAAATATACCATCCACCACAAAGAAAGCAAAGCTCCAATTTGCCCCAAACCATTGATATTGCTTGGCAGCACCATCTCCATGCCCCACCATTTCGTAGTTTCCATCCAGAACTTTCATGCAAGTGTACAAGCACAAAAAAAAAAAAAAGATCCTTCGTTTCCCCCGCATCACCACACATGTCACACATCATTTCCTTTCACCATCTTCCCTAATGAATCCGATTTGGTAAAAATTGTCCCTCTTGTTGCTAATTTATTGAGTATCAACCACTATTTGTTACTAATTTTTTAATTACTTCCTTAATTATATAGACTATATATGTTATAAACATAAACTACCCTCGGCCCCACAAGCACCCCCGACTAAGGGGACCAGAGAAATGCATTTCCCTTCCCCCCCTCCCCCCCCAATTTGTTGGCCTTTGCCACCTTCCTTAACAAGCCCTTGAGCCTCCTTTGCGCCGCCTTCCTCATAGAAGCCACCGGATCGACCCTGAGGAGCACCGGCGGAGCTAGTGGGGGGCCTGAGGGGGCCAGGCCCCCCCTAAGCTTTTAAAACTTAGAAGTTTGGGCCCTTGATTTTATTTTTATTATTTTTATTCTAAATAATTCTATTATCATTTTACTTTTTTTTTTTATTACTATTGGATATTACTTTGAAATGATAATGAGGAAGGTAAGGACACTATAGATAATAGGAAATATTATTATTATTATTATTGGATATTACTTTGAAATGATAATGAGGAAGGTAAGGACACTATAGATAATAGGAAAGATGAAAAAATAAAGATTAATTGAATGAAAATTTATTTAATATCATTTTATTTACAAAGTATTCACAACTTTTTACTTTTCCTTTTTTAGTAGTACTCTTTTACTGATTATATATGTTCATTCTGTCCTTTAATTAATGGCATTTATATTCATCAGCCACTATTTATTTATTATTAAAGACTAATCAATATTATTTAAATAATTTTAAAAAAAAATTTCTCTTTTGTTGACTTTTTAATTTACACACACTCATTATTTAGTCAAAGTTTCTTCTTGCCCTCCCTAAAAAATCTTTCTGGCTTTGCCACTGTTGAGGAGTGCTTGGTATAGGAGAAACTAAAGTATGGAAAAGAGAGGATGAAAAATTGAAAGAAAGACAAATTGAGAAATTATTAAATAAAATGAAACTGTTATAAGAAGCCTTTAAGAAGCTTATATAGAAATTTAGGTAACTTACTGATCAAGAAACGTTAAATCTAACATCAAAATAATATCAAATCTAAAATTTATTTTCATAATTACATGAATCATATCTTATATAATGTCCTATCGTCTCTTGAAACACCTCAAACCTTTTTTTTTTTTTTTATTGAAGTCGAAACTGAGAATCTGCCTAGAGCTATGAAGAAATAGTAGAAAAAAGAAAAAGCAATAGAAAATTGTACTAGATGATGGGGTAAGAGTTTTACATAAAAGATTGAAATGAAGATTGAAAGTTTAGGAAAATAAGAAAGCAGAGAAAAGAATTAGAAGAATTTGAGATAAAAGAAGTCAACATGTGCGATGAAGGTTGAAAATGCACAAAGCAATATGAAATAGAAGGATTATTAGAAAAAGTAAAGTAGTATAAGAAAATTAAATTGGTAGAAACTCAAAGTAGAAGAAAATCGACTTATTAGGAAAATGTTGTGAGCTAATTGAATTGGATGAACCAAGAGGAATTGTTTTAGTCAAAATCAATTAAGGGTTTCCAACAAAATCAAGTGAGTTTTTTTTTTTTTTTTTTAAAATTGAAAATA